CTGGGCTTGAGCGGGCCGGGCTCTGGGCCGGCCCGATTTTTTTTTCCTATTTTTAATTTTTTTAAAATTTTAAAAAAAATAATAAATTATAAAATATACATAAAAATTACAGAAAATGATATAAATTTTTTTAATAACTTGAAATGATATAAATTACAAGTACAAAAAATTATAAAAATAAAAAATAATAAAAATAATTTCTTTATTAATAATCAGTAAATCATTTACAATTATAAATTTATTTTAAAATTCGTCGGGTCACAATAGATGAGTAAATCCTAACTAGGTTGGCACCTACTCACCCATATTACTATCATTTGTAACTTTTTTAAAAAAAATCATTACAAATTTAAAGCTAAGAAATAAAAATTACAAGTTGATGAATATTATCTAATCTTTATATCTATCTGCTATTCTCAACTCTTTAAATTTATCTTCAATTAATCTGATCGATGCCTTGTGTTCGCTTCTCGTACCTCCACCAATCTTGTAAGCACATCATCACTTGTACAGTATACGGATCTAAGCATATCCCGTGATCGTGGATCAAACGTCCTGCTGTGCTGAAGGCGGATTCCGAAGCTACCGTCGAAACCTGCACTGATAGTAAGTCACGAACCATGGTGAAAATGATATGATATGAAACTGATTCATATACTCTCCACCATTGCAAAATATCTAAAGCATTTCATTGATATTTAACTAAGGAATCAGAAAAATATTCATCTAATTCAGAAACCTCTAATCCTGAACCAATTCCAGATCCACCAGTTAGTTCAGCTATCATTACATACCTATCAAAACTTACACTTTTACCTCGACCTGTGCTCGAAGCCGAATGTGCTGAATCTGTAGACTGTTGTGCGGCTACACCATGTCTAGCTGCATACTCGTCATATAATGTTTAAAAATAATTTCTAATTGATAAATGATGAGAAGTAACAGTAAGGGTGGAACCATCATCTAAGTCTATAATCTGTCCACCACACAATGACTATAACAAACTTCGAAGACCAATACCTTTCAAACATGGATAAATAAGAACCCCAAAAACCAAAAATATGAGAAATAAACCTAAAATACTTTTAAATTTGCTCTCCATTTTGAAAAATGAAGAGACATAAAGAATGTGCATTTTTTTTTTTTTGATGACAAGGGAAACTTGGTCACCCAGCTCAGTTTAACTCCTTCGGAGCCCCGCCAGCGGCCCTGGTTCGATTCCCCTTGTTCCCTTCACATGTTGGAGGGCATCGCTGAGGTGAATGGGCGACAGCTGGTGGTGGCGCTGAGGGTCTGAGAGAGATGGGTGTTGGGCCTGGTGGAGGAGGCTTGGAAAGAGGAAGGCAGCGGTGATGATGGAGGCGGAGGTGGTGAGCTCAGGTCGGAGGACAGCGATGATCGACAATGAGGAGGGAGGCGGAGTTGGCTGAGGTTGGGAGGAGCGGCGGTTGCGGGTCCCCACCCTTAAACCAAGGGAAACCAGGTGAATGCGGCTACGAGGATTCGAACTCCTGACCAACAACGGGCAATAGCCTGGAGAGATACACTCCCCCATGGAGAGCTGCTGACCATGAGTCCCACCCGCGGGTGGTAGAATGTGCATTTTAACTTCCAAAAGAATGCTCATTCCCACTCGTTCCGGTATTACCAAAGAGCCATCAGTTCTGTAGGTATTCAAATTCTAGTCAACATGCACATAATTCTCTAAAAAATTCAAAAAAAAACAACTTATAAATATTAACAAAAGAATGTTATTATATTTTATTTATCAGAAACACTCAAGCCCAAAGAGCACGCCAGCGTGCTTCATCCCACCATCCTTCACAAAATACAAGTCCCTCATCCTCAAGAAAGCCTGCCATGTCAGCAAACTGTCGGATCCAGCCTGATGACACCTCCCCACAACCCGATCCACCCTAAGCACACCCGCAACCCGATCCAACCCCCCAAACAATCCATCGCAGTACCTCATCATATGCTTCATATCAAAAAAACCCTTTCCCCCAAAATAAACCCTAACAAGCCCCATAAATTCACCCAAATTCTTCGGCAGTTCGCTGCAAGTCAGGATTTTGATCAGGTAAGCGAAGTCATAAGCGCTGTGGAAAGTAACCCAATTCACCGATTCGTTCAAAACCAATCCTGATGACATCAGCAATCCAGCGAAGTCACTCGAATCGATTCCGTTAACCTTGTTCTCATCAAAATCGATCCCGTTCGATTTCAGCAGCTGAATCGATTCCCGAGAGTAGAGATCGCGACCGATGTCGAAGTCCCTGAAGTTGAATTCCCAGATGTAGCGGGTGTCGGATTCGGAATCTAGGGTCGGGAGATTGCCGGCGGAGTCGGAGAGGGTGAGGCCGACCTGGATCAGGTTGAGGGAGTCGACGTTGGTCTTGAGGGCGGCGTAGCGCTCGCCGGCCGTGAGTAGGCGGTGGTGCTTGGGGGGGCGGTAGACCACGCCGGGGAACTCCGTGTCCATGGCGACGAAAGGGAAGCAGTCGACGCAGTCTCGGATCAGGGCGAACTCGGATTCGAGGTTGTGGGCCCACACGTTGCGGATCTGGATCTTGGGCTTTAAGGTTTCCGACGGCATCGTGGACTGACCTTTGGTTTGATCTTCGTCTTCGTTTTTAGTTCCAGACTTTGCTTTTGATCCCTAGGGTTTTGAGGAGGGGGCCCTTTTATAGTGGGCAAGGGGGATTAAGGGGGATGTTTCTGGGAACAGAGAAGAAGAAGGAATGAAGGGCCTACAGACGCCGTCTAGTCTGCTTTGAGATTCGGGAATTTGGGGATGGATGGACGTGTGCAGTTTGGTTGTGACAAGGGTTAATTTTGGGGCGTTGGATGGGAATGCGCGGTGAGTGAGTGGTGTTTTAGTGGGACCCAGTGGGGACTCAAACGTGGAAACCGTGTGCATAACTAATGAGAGTGTGTATTATTTACTATGTTCTAATTTTCTAAATTTTTTTTTAAATTGAGTTTTTGTTTGGGGCCGAGTCGACCGATATTAGAATTACCCGAATTTGTGCCAAACGAATTATTCGGATCGAAAAATTCGGTTATTTTAGAAAAGTTGAGGACATTACTGAGCTTCGTAGCTTGTGTACAGTATGTTAATATTTGTTTGTAAAAACAAGATAGTCCCACATTGGATATTTGAGGATTCTTTTAGAGGTTTAAAAGTATTTAATTATTATTGGGCTTTGATAAATGGATCAAAGTATAGGTTTCTAAACTCGCATGCGGGTAGCGCGAATAATATATTTTGAATATATTATTTTTAATGTTATTTTAAATTTTTAAAAATATGAATAGACAAGTGGTTGATATAGGCGTCAAAAATTGCCTATAGGCTCCCGTACATAGTTCAAAATGGAGAGAAGGCGATGAACGTTATTATCCGAGTCAAAGAGGATTATCCAAGTCAAAGAGGATCATCCGATGCTGTAAAAAGAAGCGAAGGAACGCACGTGAAACGTCGAAACGTGTGAAACAACGAAGGAAATACAATCAGGAGGACTCTAGAGTGATCTGCAAAAAATCTCAAAAGATAAAAGTTGTAGCTCTTTTCGTCAGCTTTCCAACGCGTCTTGAATCACTTTATTCCGAAGTCGGACGAGAGAATTAAAGCCAAAATATCGAAGATAGTACAAACTGTCTCGGAGAATCCGAGTCATCTCAAAGTGACTCGGAAATTCCGAGTCACTTCGAAGTGACTTGCGCCCAGGTCAGTTCCCGACGTGTTTTCTGATAAGATTGCCATCTAGAACTCCTTGGGGTCATCCATAAACATGTGGGGTTATCCTTAAACATGTGGAAGCTGTTACACAACCAAAAACTCACCTAAACGGATAATAACGGTTGTTCTTCGATCCTATCCACAAACACGACACTTAAAATCTATAAATACACCCCTAGCACCCTTATAAAGACAAATCTGAAGGGAGTCACGAATTTCAGAGGAGCTAGGGCGAGGTTCTGACGAATTTTAGAGATGCTAGAGAGATCTTGGCGAATTCCTGTGCATAAAGAGTGGATTTCGAGAGATCTGAAGCCCGTTCCACCATTCCTTGAGATCAGACTTTGTTTTGATCTCGAGAAGAGTAGTAATCTCATTTTGTTGAGATTGTTTACTTTTGCGATTGTTTCCTTTGTGAAGTAAGATCATTGATCTTTTATTCCGATCAACCGGATCTGATCCACGGTAGTCCACGGATAAACCCTGGCACAAGCAAAGATCTCACGCAAACAGCGGATGATAAACGTCCTCTGTGTGTGTTTCTAGAGAGTTGTATTTTTCTTATTTTTATTGTATAAGAAAGTCTTATAAAAAGACTAATTTTACTTTAAATCTGTAATCGATAAACGTGTAATGGATTGAGCAATGAAAACAACTTTTGACGCAAACAGTTGAAAAGTGTCCGTTTGTTCCAAGAGGCGTTTTGAAAAGTTATGACTATTGGAAGTACCTTTTCAAACCTATAAATAGTTTATAATTTCAGATATCTTAAGTTCACTTCTTTTTCAAAACTTTTTTGCCAAAAACATCTGTAATACTACAAACTAGTTTCACAGTAAATTAGTGGAAAATTCCAAATTTGCTTGCTGGAATTTTTATTTGATGTTATACACTAGGAAGAAAATTTGTCTTAACCCGAAGCAACTTTGAATATCAAGTAGGGAAAAATATTTCTTTAAGGAAAGTGTTTTATGGCTCAGAATTTTTGTCTCCTTTATAATTTTTCTAACATGGTAACTCCCACTTAATTAGGTTAATGGAACAAAATCTGATTAACGAGTTAAATCTTGTTTGGCAAAAAGCGAACGAGAAGTCATCCGGCTTTCCTTTTTTTTAGCTCAATGTTTGGTCACTGAATAATTTCATTTTGTGCTAGCCTCTATTTGGTCCACAACGAAACTAGTTTAGTGAAAAACTAGAAAAACTAGTTTAACCTAATTTTGGCTAAATTTATCCTTAGTTTGAGTTGTTTTAGATATAGCCTTTGAATAGTCAATAATTCAAATAGTTTATTTTATATACTACGGGTACTCAATGATTACAAAAGGTACATACTGTAAAATTTTCATGAGTTTTCTTTAGATTTGTTTAATGGTTAAAGACTTGATGTCTCTAAATTATAGGAGCTTTTTAGGGTTAGACATGTGGTTAAAGACGCGATCCGTTGCTTAGCTGGTGTGTCAAAAGGAAAATCTTGGATCAACTCTTCTATTTTGCACTTAGGGCTGTTTGTTTGCTAAAAAAATAAGAACCCCCCACCACGTCAGATTTTAAGAAATTCACCCCTGCTACGTAGGATTTTGGTTTAAACCGATTTTTAAATCATATGTTTGTTTCGTTTTGTGATTTAAAGAAATGAAGGTGCCACGTCAGATTTTTTAGAAAAGTGTTTTCACACCAAAAACCTCTGAAAACACTTGAAAATGTCACTTCAATAAATTTTTAATTACTAAAAATACTGATGAAAAGTGATGTGAATAAAAAAGATTATTTAATTACTGAAAACACTGTTACTATTGCGGTTGATTTCCATTTTCTTTTTTTTATGTTCAAACAAACACAATAAATAAAAAATCGAAACACTATTACTATTGCAGCTGAATTTTGTTTCTTATGTGACGTGGCGTTGACGTAACAGTGATTTCATTGCGAAAAAAATACGAAAAATGTCTTGAAATCTATTGAAATGAGTTGAAATGTAAGTTTTCCATTTCCGATTTTTTTTCGAAAAACAACAGAACAACCCCTTACCAAAGAAAGCTCTTCACATGATACACCACGTGTTTGGTGGGCCGCGACTATCATGATGGACAACTTCATTCTGTTAGAGCAAGTGCATCAAGCTCCCAGTTGGGAGTCCTAGTCAGCAAGCTCCCAAGAGCTCTCAAGCAATTTAGAATTAAAAATTAAAAAAATAAGTCTTAGGAGGTCATCCTTCTTCTATGGAGCTCCAACAAGCTCCTAGTTAGGACTTAGGAGCTTCAACAATATCAAAAAAGCCCCTCTTTTATTTTAATATTTTACTCATCCTTCTTCTACGGTCATTTTTCAACATATCATTTATTTCATTTATTTCATTTCTCAACAGTCATTTAACGTTCATTTTCTCAATGCTCATTTATTTCATTTATCTTCAAAGTATCATTTCCAACGAAGGCCATTAAAAAAAACGCACTCCATTTAAAAAAAATCACAAACTCCATCTTCTCCCTTCGACAAACCCAACCCCAATTCTTCGACTGACCAAACCCATTCATCCCCAAATCGCCGACAGACCAAACCCCAAATCCTCTCCCTTCGCCACCATCATCTCCGACCCAACCCCAGTCATCCATCATCTCCGAATCGAACGCCACCGCACAGTCTCCGATCCCACCCCGAACGCCATACCTCATCTCCGCGAAGGCCAGCGAACGCCCTCATCTCCGATTTTTGTCCGTTGAGGGGGGTTTTTGTAAATCCTCCCTCAGTTGGGAGCTCCCAAGCGCTCCACAAATTTGTGGAGCGCTTAGGAGCTCCGAAGCTCGGGAACGCCACGTCAGCGCTTGGGAGCTTGCTGGGAGCAGTTCGGAGGCTGCTGGAGGGGATTAAATCGGAGAGCTTGGCCACGTCGGAGCTGAGAGCGGGCTGGGGAGCTTGCTGCCCATGCTCTTAAGACATAGCGTTTCCTAGTTTCAGTTGGAACATGTGATAGAAATTTTTAAAAAAAATTGCAGATGTTTATTTCAGATACGCAGATGATAACCGCTCGAATAATTCGTCAGTCCCGAATACTTCCTCAGTATCGGGACCCACTTGGGTGCAAAATTGGTGTGCAATTGTTGGGTGTTCTTTAATGTTTAACTTAAAGAGGAGAAGTTGGGGAGGATGCACATTGGCCGTCCTTTTGAGCATGACCACGATTGGTATAAAATACGGTAGGGAGGAGGATTCTTCTCCCCTGGTCAAATGGGCAGCGCCATTTGAAAACGTCTTTGGTCTTTTGGTAATGTCACGCTCTTGTTAGATATATCATATCTATCAATATGCCTACTAATTTATTGGACTTATTATGTGTCACGCGCGTGTGGATAAGTGAGCTGAATGCGACCAACGTTGAAACTTCTTGGTGACCTCTTGTTCACTTGGTTTATCTTCAGATAATTACTCTCAAAATCACATTGTTCAAAATGCAGATATTTTTTAGTTTTGTCCTCAAAATTACTGTACTTATTATTTTAGCATGTCTCTTTTCTTCAGATCATCGTAAGAGTTTTCTTGATCACACCTGAAGAGAAGATTCAAAGTCAAATTAATATGTGAGTAAAGCCTTATGTTGGATAGAATAAGAAATAGTCGTGCGTTTAAAATAAAAGTTAGAGATGTTACCTATAGCTATAATTTTGGGATTAAAATTAATCCATAATTTTGTTTAAGGCTCGTTAACTCTAGATTGGACCCGAATATTTTCCTAACAAATGATATCAGAGCTAAATTTAAGGTCCAATTAATTAATATATAAGGAGACAAACGGTGTACTCTTTGAGTCAAAGAACTTTTTTGAGTTCATTCTTGTTCGTGAACTTTAGAAAAGCAATTCATGACAAAAACATTATAAAAACCTGTATCAATTGTCAGACTTAGATTCTCTTAGCTTACCCTTA